CTCTCCCCTAGCAAACATGGTTCGTTTGAGGCCCTCACTTCTCCCTGCCTTCTCACAGATATGACCCACCTCCTGAATCCTGCTAGATGGCTTGATCGATGGGACCAGGAGTGAGGCAACTCTTTCAGATCTGGGATGGGTAGAAACCATAGAAGACAAACAGTTCCTCAAATAACTAGGCCCCATGCCATATAAGGCTACAGTACTACTATATGTAGTACTGCTACATCAAAGACTGATTAAATAGGAAAGGGAATAAAGTTGAAGCTGAACACAACTAAGAGTTTTGCAGTTGCTCTAACCCCTAGTGAGTAGGGAAGAGATAGGCCAATCATTTCAAAGGAGTTTTGGATGGAGATGTGCTTCCTGGTTAAAAATAGCATTTCCATAGTCATGAAAATAAATGTCTTTATATATCACATATACAGTATGTGTGGAATATATCCAGCATGTCTAGTGAATTATTCTGCAAACACAGCACGATTAACACCTTATTAAGAAAGAAGCCATAGGAAAATCAATTTGGACTTATGCCTAAAATGGTACAATTAGATCAAGTTGTAAGTGATGGATTGAGCATGCTTGCCCATACCAACCCGCAGGATAAAATAGAGTTTTTTCACCCAATTAGCTTTTTGGCAGAGCTCTTACTATGAGCCTAAAGGAGCTAAAGCTAAACCAAAAGAGCCAGTTTGGTCTAGTGGTTAAGGCACCAGGCTAGAAACTGGGAGACCATGAGTTCTAGTCCCACCTTAGGCACAAAGCCAGCTGGGTGATCTTGGGCCAGTCACTCTTTCTCAGCCCTAGGGAGGAGGCGACGGCAAACTACTTCTGAAAATCTTGCCAAGAAAACTGCAGGGCCTAATCCTGGCAGTCACCAGGAGTCAACACAGTCTTGAAGACATAAAAAAAAAACAAAAGGAAGAGTGAGTAGAACCCCCAACAGCATTTTTAGTAGGCCAGGAGCTATTATTTCTCTCCATCATTTCTGAAAATTGATGGCAGTGATTCCTACCAGTTTGAAGAGGAAATACCTGAACATTGAAATATAAACCCTAAAATAACTCTTCCATAATTTAAAAAAGTGAAGGACCCCCCCCCCAAAACTCCCTTCCCAGCAAGAATTTAAACATCACAACCCCAACCATGTATGTTAAAGGTACAGTAATGTCCACTTGGCAGCATTATTTCCCCTAAATATTAAGTTCTGGTCCCAGGCTATCAAAAAGTTTCCAGCCCCTGGTTGAGCTGGAAAAAAAACCTGGGTTCCAGGTGAGTTTTAATGGAGACTTCGCAATTAATTGAATATAATCTATTTGAAATCTCAGATCAGGACTGCTAGGACAATTTAATGATAGTGAAAACAACTCTGCATGTATTTAAAAATCACTCTCATTCTTTGACATCCCCTTGGCAATAAAAATCAGGTAGTCAAAGCTACTGGTGGTGATAGGATTGCTCTAATTGTAGTTGTCAACTGATAATTCTATGCTTTTTTTAAAAAAAAAAAAGCAGTTTGTTTGTTTATTTAAGTTTTCACACATAGCAAAAATCAAGGAATACGAAACATTTCTGGCAGCTATGTGGAGAGAAATACTGACAATATAAACTGTGCTGCACAGCAAACGTAAACACAGCAGCCACAACCGAAAGCAGAAACAAAGCCAGCCGCTGCTGGGCGGAAGCAAGGAGGCCTGTTGATCACTGAATGGTGAGAGAAAGGCAGGCTACACATGCCCCAAAGCACTCCCCCCCCCCCCATAATTAGTACTTCACACATCTCAGGGTTAGCTGGCGTTAAGAACTTGGCAGTTGAGTGGCTGCCTAGTGCAAAGACCACACAGCTCAACCTGAGCCAGTTATACGGAGAGAAAACTATGAACCCTTTGTTGGTCAAAGTCCAGGAAGACCGCGTCTAAGTGGCTCTAATGTATGTCGGACTCTTGGCCTTTGCACCCCGGAGAAGAGCAGCGCGCGCTCCTGCGGGGAAGAAGTGAGGCGGCCCTGTGGGCAAATATTGCGCGTGTGCGTGTGTCTCCCTTCCCGCGCTGGGTAGGAACGGCTGCTTGCTCGGTTTACACGGCGCATCCACTTGCTGATGCACACCCGAACGCGCAGATACACGCTCTCAGGCAGTCGCCACCACCAGCAGCAGCACCCAAATCCCACTGCAAACAAAGGGAGACGACGGTGGGGCTGCTGGAGCGGTCCCTCGCCTCCCGTTTTGCA